TATGTGTGCGAGAAAGAGAGGCGATAATCATATCCTTCTATTATATAAAGCGCTAACTTTGTGTGTCGGTTTGTGTATCTGTATGTGTGTGTGTGTGTGTGTGTGTGTGTGTGTATGTATGTGTGTCCGTCCGCAAAATGAAGTGAGTGAGAAGGAAGCTCATGGGATAAACAAACCGCTAACAAATCGGGTAGCTTACAGGATTTGAGATATCAATGTTTTGTAGCAGGATAGTTGTGATAACACTCTTAGGGCTATATAAACACCTGCTTAGCACACTTCCGTTCATTCCACATGGTGCTGCAGTGGCAGCTGGAGGGCAGTGGAGAGAGGAAGGGAGGATGAGGAAGGGAAGCGAAAAATCTACCGTCATATCATGATTGTGTCCCTTCTACTGTATGAAACACCATTGTGTTGCATACGCGTCACTTCCACGAGGTGTTGGTGTCACAGGAGGAAGGGACCATAGCGGAGGATAGAAAGCTTGCGCAGGAAAGGAAGGTCCCGGCGGTTGACGGGGGACTAATCTGGTTATATATAAACCAGAGTTTGTTTGTCTGACCGCTCCCCAAAAATTCGCAAGTGTCCCCCACATGTTTATAATTCTTCCTTCAAAAATCACCTAGGGAGGGCGGGTCAAGTTTGGAATGGGTAGAGTATGAGTCGCTCTCTAAGGGAATATATTGATTATGCTGAACTCCGCCTCCAGTGGGCGGGGCGTGCGTCGAAATTAAAAAATTTGGTGAAAAAATTGCAGTTTTTGGCTTCAGAACAGTCTAAAGACAGGGAAAAATAGGGCCTTAATAGGGTACTTACCGCTCTATAAGGGGAATACATATTGGCCATGCTAAACTCCACCCCAAGTCGTAATAACCGCAGGCCGTCTCTCGCGCTCAGGTATCGTGCCGCAGCCAACTGGTGATACATAGATGACTTAGATGCTTGTACGAAGTAACTGTCTTCTGTGAAACTCGTGTGCTTCCAACCTTCACTACTATTTTTGCCCATTAGCAGTGAGGAGGGCTCCGTTCCTGCAGTGATCACAGCAGTACTACTAAGGAATTCGAAGTAATGTGAAGTAATTCTTGCATAAAGGCGGATGTGGTGTAGTGGTAAAGCGCAATGCCTAGCTTGCGCACGGTCCAGGGATCAAATCCCAGCTGTTCAATCCTCAATAGGCCTTCCATCCCTCCGTAGTGAGCAAATCCTACTGTACTTGTCTGGGAGGATAAAAACACTGACTTGTACATCGGCTGGCCCCCGCAAGTCATTGTATAGGCCACATCGCATTCAAATGCCACTACGAATGTACAAATGGAAGTAGAATGCGTGCCGCATCCCAAAAAGGGATTGATCGAACGCTGAATGCTTCATACATATTCGTTATCCGTATTTCAGGCGGCCATACGCCTTTGAAAGAAGGACAATTGTAGTCCTCAAAGTTCTCTATTATAGCCAAAAAAAACTAGAGAGGCTTTTATTCAAAAGACGCATTACAGCATGGCCGATTTCCAACGTCTTTGTACAAAGCCAGTCATGCTTCCTTATTTTATGTTCTTGACGACATGCTTTTACAACGTCCAGATGTGGGCATTTCTTGAAAGTGCCTCAGCGACTCGTTTCCAGATGTTCAGGGACTGAATTTCACAAAAACCACTCGTCGTAGTGCCCATCTCGTTGAAGTCAATGTGAAAAACCACCTCCTAAGTGCATGTTTTGAGCTGTTTTACTTCGTCATTCGAACGCTAATTCATTTAAGGACATATCTGCCGCGATATCCGTGGCAACGGTCCAAAAGGGCGAATCAGCAATTTCCATCCCCCACAAGGAGATGAGTATTAATCCAAAGCGAATGTAAAGTAAAGCCAGCGATTGTAAAGTCATAAGACCCAGCGAATTTCTTCTACGCGATGAATTGCTTGAGGTGCTTGAGCAGTGATGGTGAGAATGCCGAAGTCAGGGGATACGGCGATGGGAAACGCTATCCTAGTCAAGCTTTGCAACATAAAACTGTGTGACCTTCGCAATGTACAGGGGGGGGGGGCAAAAAAGAGTCACTTTGCCCATGGCGCATATCATCAAACTTTTCGTCGCAAAGGATGCCGCTGTTATTGGGAGTTATACGGCGAATATTCCTTAGATGTCCCCCCATAAGCAGAATCAGGCCCACCTTCGCTGCCTTCACCGTCTCCAGAATATGACGTCATCTGTCATCACCGTCGAGCTCAAGGAGGCCTACCATAATCGCTCCATTCTGAAGCTGCTACATAATTTCTTCAATCGGATAACTGGTGAATGACTTCTTAGAGACACTAGCTCTGACTATGCAAAATGGCTTTTGACCAGCGTTTCAGAGACGTCGTAATCGTCTATGGTTTCTCGACGACCTCGTTGAGCTCGTACCGCGAACCATGTTTCCGTGGGAAAATCTTCTGATGTCGTCGGTGTAGAAGGCCCATGTAATGTTTTTGATAGAATAGAATGTGCTCTTCAATATGCAATTGAGCTCATTCGGTTTGGTTTTGGAAAAGTGTAATTAATTCTGTTTTGAATGTGAGACTTTTTTACACAGCCCCCCCCATATCATGCCTCAAAGCTGGCGGGTCCGGCGATCTCCGCCCACCGATCATCTGATCACTCGCCGTAGTTCAATACGTGGCGAGTGATTAGATAGCTGAGAGAGCGTAGTGTTGAAGAGGGCACAGCGATGAGAGTCGCATCAATGCTCAAATCAACGGGCAAGGAAGGGGTCCCATTTCTCGGGTTCTGGGCCGTTTCTCATGGTTCTTCCTTCTTTCGTGTACCACTCACCATCTTATTTGAAAATGGGGGGTTTTTTGTTCCTTTTCAGCGTGAATTCGTCTTTAATATAGATACTGGACGGTGGGCGGGATGATTAAAGACGTGGCTATGAACTTCTTAATTTTTTTCGCAAGTTTGGGCAGGGGCCCAAGAGCAATCTAGCTCATATATGGGCTGCGTGTTCGCCAAGGTCTAACATAGTATTTGCATTCTCGCTTACAATGAAGCGCACACTTTATGGCATATTTCACGACTAGTTAAAGGCACATCTCTTTCTAGGAGTGAGACGCCCCTCAGTCCGTAACCGCAGGGGTCACACTAAATTTACATTCAATAAGGAATAACAACCCCGCGTTGTGCCTCAGAGGGGGGGGGGGAGGGGTATTGAACGTAGATCAATTTGGATGCGCGCTTGCAATCCGATCGTGAAGGCTTTGTGTCGCCAGCGTCGTGAAATGTGGCCAGTTTTACGTAACTCTACCCACTTGCGGCTGTTTATAGCAAAACTCGGTAAGCACTGATACTCGTCCCTCGAAACAATGTAGCATTGACGGCTTCACAGAGAAGTTATACGAGACGCGTTCGCTCGTGTTGGCGACGTCATTTTGACGTCAGGGCGGTGGCGAGGGAACGGGCAAGAGCCGGCGCTGACGCCAATTCTTCAACACGTCAGGTACTGCTAACAACTTATTGTACTTTAACTTCAATTTGTAGCAAGTTGTGGTGCAAGTGTAATCGAAATGGAGATCGATGTCATAGGAATGAACTTCAGCTTGATTGCGCACTCAAGCAGGGTGAATATCGGTCGAGGATTCC